AATATATCAATAGTTCATTCTTTTTTATTGCTGAGTAGTATTCTATTACATGGTTACACCACAGTTTTATTATCAGTTCTCCTGGTGATGGGCATATGGGTTGTTTCCAGTTTTTGGCCATCAGAATAAAGCTGCTATGAGCACTGGCATGGATGGGTTTTCATTTGTCTTGGGGAAATGCTTAGGAGCGGAATGGCTGAATCACATAGTAGGTGTACAGTTAACTCTTTAAACTGCCAAACTTGTTCCAAATTTTCTCTAATGTTTTATATTCTGATCAGCACTGTATGAGCATTTCGGCTCTTCCACACTCTCACCCACATGTGGTTGGTTAGTCTTTTAAAGTTTACCTATTCTAACAGGAATATAATACCTCATTTTATTTTAATTTGCACTTTCTTAATGTCTAATTCTCTTGACCATTTTTTCATGTGCTTATTTGTCATAGGTATATTTTTTTTTACTCAAGTGTTTGTATAAATCTTTTGCCCATTACTAAACTGAGTTGTTTCCTTATTACTGACTTTTGAGATTTCTTTACATATTCTAAAGACAAGTCCTTTATCAGGTAAATGCTTTAAGATTTCTCTCTCAGGCTGTGGCTTATCTTTTCATTCTCACAACTATCTTTAAAAGGGCAAAGTTTTTAACTTTGATGAAGTACAATAGCTTTTATGGATTATGCTTTTGGTATCGTATCTAAGAAATCTTTGCTGTACTCAAGGTCACAAAGCTCTCTCTCTTACATTCTTTTCTATAAGTTTTACAATTTTAAGTTTTACAGTTAGGTCTTTAATTCATTTTCACTTAATTGTATATGATGTAAGATATGAAACAAAGTTCATTTTTTTGCATATTGATGTCCAGTTATTCCACTATCATTTGTTGATCAGATGATCCTTTTTCTACTGATCTAACTTAGCACTTCTGTCAAAAGTCAGTTATCCATGTATACTTGCGTCTATTTCTGGATTCTCTATTCTGCTCCACTGATCTATTTGTCTGTCTTTATGCCAATACCTCAATGTCTTGAGTACTGTAGCTTTAGATAAGCTTTGAAAGCAGGTAGTGTTGGTTCTCTAGCTTTGTTCTTTTCTAAAGTTGTTTCAGCAATTTTAGATGCTTTGCATTTTGATTGGTCAATTTCTACCAAAAAAAAAAAAAAAGCCTGCTAACATTTTGGTTGAGACTCAATTGAATCTATAGATTTGGCAAGAGTTGGCAATTTAACAATATTAAATCTTCTAATCCACAAATACAGTGTATGTCTTCAATCATTTAGGTCTCCTTTTGCATCCCTCATCAATGCTTTCAGTGCACATTAACTCGTACAGTATAGTATACAAGTCTTCCACATCTTCTGTCCTATTATCCCTAAGTACTTAGTATTTTTTGATGCTAGTGTGAATGATATTACCTTTTAAATTTCAATTTGACTGTTCACTGGTAACATATATAATTAATTTTGAATAGTGACAGTAAGCCCTGAAACCTTGATAAAACTTACTCATCAGTTCTGGTAGCTTTTCTGAGGATACCATAGGGGTTTTCTACATAGATGACCATGTCACTGTGAATAAAGACAGTTTTATTTATTCCTTTCTAGACCTAAATGCATTTTGTTTCTTTTTCTTGCCACATTATACTGTCTGGAAAGTCCAGTACAATACTGAATGGAAGCAGGGAGAGCAGACATTATTGCAAAGACATACTGAAAATCAAGCAATCCTTCTGTTTGTCTACATTAAAGAAAAAATGTTGGTAGTTAGATGAACAAAAAAAATAAATGGATGATGAGATTTGGGGAACTAGTCAAGCATGTAAGCAAAACTTGACTGAATGAAGAGAAGGAAAAGTCTTTCGTTTAATTGATTCCACAAACTATCCTTTTTCTTTTTTCAGTCTGGCCAAGCAGTGCTTCCATCAGCATTTAATTAAAACTTAATTGTGTTGTTCTAACACCGACGGACCAAAAGGAAATTTGCAATTTTGAAATAATTACTTAAAATACTTCATAAAAATTCTGGCCTGTGTGGCTCAGCGGATTGAGTGTTGTCGCCCCATAGACTTAGAGGTCCTGGTTCAATTCCTGGTCAGGGAACATGCCCGGGTTTCAGAATCGATCCCCAGTGGGGGGCGTGCAGGAGGCAGCCGATCAATGTTTCTATCTCACATCGATGTTTATATCTCTCCCTTAAAAATCAATAAAAACATATTTTTAAAAAATACTTCATAAAAAATTTATGATATTTGGATGAGAAACTCAACAATAATTCTGTAAACAATAAGAAATCCCAAAGTGGAAAACAGTCTCTCACTGAAGTCTTCACTCATCTCTTAATTATGAAATATAATGAGGGCTTTTCACTACTTATTTCACTTAATTTCTCCACAATGCTCTAAAATAATGACTACTTCTGTCTTTTATGCTTTTCCCAATCATGGCTCCACGTCATTAGTCAAATCTTGGTCTTCCTGTTGCTTTCTAGATGACTTCCCAGTGTCCTTCCTTGACGCGAGGGCTCGGTCTCCAGTTGTCCTCTTTGCCCTAAGTGTCTCTGGGATTTTACTCCTTAACACACTTAGAGAGCTGGAGCTCAGTTTACTTGCTATTGACTCTCAAATGTATTTCCCATTCTATGATCCTTTTATCTGATGGCACCTGGCAGTCATGGATGACACAGTCCTTTCTCTCACTCCTACATACCTAATAAATAATTAAATCCTGGATTTTTATGCCCAGATAAGTATAATTTTTTTCCCTTTAAATTCCACTGATATACTCAGAGTATTTTTTTCTTTGTGCTTAAGACCAGGTCTTGGAAAACTTTTGCAAAGGACCCTACAGTAAATACTCTAGGCTTCTTATATGAACTTTATAAGAACATGTCCTTCGTCAGGCCTGAGGACACAGGCATGGATTCGGACAACAGCAAGCACACAGAACTGATGTCATCGGGCGAGAGGTGAGGTAGGGAAGTCCCAAGGGTGCCTCCCTGCTTTCTGGCTGAGGCACCTGGGCCAGCAGTGGTCTCATTTACTAAAATACAGAATATAAAAAGCCATTTGGGAGGGGAGGAGGGACGGAGGGAGGAGGACATGCTGAACTTCAGGGGCCTTTAGGACCCCTAAGTGAAGATATCTAATCAGTGCTTCAACATCTCAGTACTAGAATGATGGTGCTAGCTAAGGTGTACTGAGTGCTCGTTCTGCGTCAGCAGATGTTGTAAGCATTTTGCATGTATTAATTTCATCCGCCCAACAATTCTAACAAGGTAGGTATCATTATCATTCCCATTTTATAGAAGGTGAAATTAAAGAGAGGTTACATAGCTTGTTGGAGATGAGAAGTTGGTAATCGGCAGAGCTGGGATTAGAACCTACATTACCTCAATCTCAAACCCATGCTTTTAAACATTAGGCTTTACTGCCTCTCCAGACATATATTTGGGAACTGCATATATTCTAGAGGGTTGCTGAAGACACAGAAATGAAAAGAAGGTACAGAATGAAAGAAGAGAGCAGAGGATTTGGGAACACGAATACTCGAAGGAGGAGCACAGAAACGGGACAGTAGAGGAGACTGAGAAGGAACAGACAGAAGCAGAGAAAAACCAGGCTAGGTAGGTTTCAAAGACACCGAGACAGTGTTTCAAGGAAGAAGTGATCGACGGTGTTTAAGGCCACAGGGAAACAGGTAACACAAAAACAGAACAGTGTCTGTCTACTGTGTTCAGTAACGGAGATTACCAGGGATTTTGGTGTGAGCAGTTTTGGCTGTCATAGTGGGATGTAAATCAGATTGGAGTAGTTTAAGGTGTATGGAAAATGGAAATGGTCAACATACACTATAGATTACACTAAGAAATTTTGTTTGTAAAGAAGAGAGATAAGTGGAGACTTAGGCATGTTTAAAAATTGATGAGTTATATCCAGAAAGATGGGAGAGGAGAGAGGATAATTACTAAAGAGAACTTCCTGAGGAAATGGAAATGTGTGGTGCAGTTATGAGTGTAGGCTCTGGAATTAAAATGCCCAGACTCAAGTCCAGCCTTTGCTACTTATTAGATGCTTACCTTGAACAAATGATTTAATCTCTCTAAGCACCAATTTCCTTGTCTGTGAAGTGGGACTATGCCTACCATCTCCTCCACAGAAATATCATAAGGCTTACAAAATCCCATGGCTCTAGGATTTCTCCATCAGTGCTCAGCAACCCAGATACGAGAACAACAAAATCAGAATGATGGACTATCTCAAAATTAAAACCTTTTACTGGGCAAGTGTGATGAAAGGGTGAGAAGTTATAGGTTCTTTAGGCATTGACAAGAGTGGCTGAAGTAATGAAACATAGGTTTTAGGCTGAATAGGGGAAAAAATCAGGACAAAAAGAGATGACATCCCCAGTAAAAGGACCAAAGGACTAGATGTCTTGATGAAGTCCAGACGTACGATTAGATATGAGGGATATAGCTGTGAGGCAGACGGTTATATTCTAGCTCTTACGGATCTTGCAGGCTGACATATAAGGCAGAAAATTAAATAAATAATTTGAAATTAAAAACGTAACAATGATAGAAGACTATAAAATCTTAAGGGGGTACAATGCAGGAGCAGTACTAGTTATAGGACTGGTCAGAAAGGCTTTTCCATGGAAAGTAACTGTTGAGCTGAGATCTGGAGGACAAATAACAGGTAACCGTGAGAAGAGGAAGGACGGTGAGTTCTGTACTGACAACATGAGCAAAGCCCAGAAGAACAAGGAGCAAGAAGAGGCCAAGGCTGAGAGGCCAACGGCTTGTGAGGTTTGTCTGCAAAGATACTAGAATGACATGAGACCAACATCAGGACCAGAGCTCAAGATCACTTAACAAGGAAGGATAAACAAATTAGCAGTCACAATGGTGTGAAAGCAAGATTAAGTTATTGAAATATATCTGAATATGCCGGCATGTAGTACACTTAATTCATGATTTAGCTAAAAGAAAAAAATACTGTACCTTTGAACGAAATGTTGGGTGAACAAAATAAACAGCCTTCAAATTCCTCTTATACCTGATTTAAAATAAAAAAAGGGTCAGTATAAATCATGAATAAAACCAGTCACCATTATGGACAATTAACTGTTTGCTTGAGTACATAGATTCATTTGCAGAGGGGAAAAGCAGTTTTTAAACAGCTCTACTTTACATATTGAATTTTAGGTGAAATGTCAAAATAATTCAGAGAACATTTCATTATTTAAAGTGTCTGTTTTATAGGAGATACTGTTTTTCTAGGCTGCAATAGAGCCACCTACAGGTAAGGACAAAGGAAATTCATAGTTAACAAGCATTTATTGAATGGTATTTTCATATGAACCTAAAATCTCTAGGATCGGGTTATAAATTAAACAGCAAAACCACTTAAAATTATAGCAAAAATTAGAAACTAAAAGTTTCAATAGTCATATTACAACAATATATATAGGCAGTTTACTGTGTCCCAGAAATTGTAAGAAGGCTTTATACTTAATTCTCAAAATAATTTTTTGAATTGAGTACTAATATTGTCTCTATTTTAATCTTCTAAAAACTACCCAGCCATCAAGAGCCAGAAACTAAACCCAGGCAGCATGGCTCCAGAATCATGCTCTTTACTACTCTATCTAGCTTCCCCAGGCGTGCCTGAAATGATTTCAACAGCTTATTAATCACGAGTGGGTCGCGTAAGGTTAATTGGAGAGGACTTCAGAGAAAATAGTACAAACTCTTCATTTCACAGTTGAGGCCTGTTCAAAGTTAGAGCTGGTTAGCAGTAGAGGCAGAATTATACTGGAGAGAAGTTTCCTTGTAAAACCCACAATCAAAGCAAGCTACAAAGGTGTCTGTTAAGTAATGAGAATTTTAATATTGTTAATTAAGATGAGATTTAAGGGGAAGAGTAAGATAGTTGGAAATTTATGGTAATTTGTCTTTTTTGCACTCTCACTGTAATATAAATTTTTCAAGGCAATCCATAAAGTCATTGTGATGCTACCAATCATAAAACAACTACCAGGAGGGTGGGCTGCTATTTTTATTTAGGAAATCTATTAATGAGAAAAAATTTAAAGTAGAACATTTTATCTTTGCTGTAGCAGGGTGTCTATATATTCTGATTAAAATTTTCATTATTACTTCAAGGGAAATATGGTTTAACAAAAATAATTTTCTGTCTCCATGTCAGTAACCTGGGTTCAAGTCCAAATTCTGCATTTAATGTTGTGAGATCTTGAGCAATATAATTCACATTTAAGAATGTCCATATTTTCCCATCTTCAAATGTAGATTATATCTATATTTACCTAGCTAAAAGAAGGACAAAGTAAATTCATATTTAACAAACAAATTTACGATGTGCTTTTTTTTACATGGCGCTAGAATCTCTGGGATCAGATTATGAATGAACAAACGGGTCACTAGATCAAATAAAATAATATTGATAAATATATTTTGATAAGTGTAACACCTTCTAAATAGAAGGCGGCATTTTTGTTATTTTATATACAAAGGTTGGTAATGACCCCAAAACTTTTCAAGGTGTTTAAAAGCAGGCAAAAGTTTACATATGAATTTACTTAAATGTGGTGGGTTGGAGTTAAGGAGCACCTACTTTATTAAAACATCTAAACTATGAATAATAAAAATCTTTGTGACATGAAATACACTTTCATAGAATACATAGCAATGTTTGCTGCTGCTTAAAACAGGAAAGAAGGAAGCTATTTCCCTCTTCCCTCTTCATAATTTGCAAAAATAACTAACTTGACATCAACGACATCGTAGAGTTTCTTCAGGAAGTCAGAGTCCAGGTGATTGTATTCGCTTGTCAGTGTGTGAAAATATACTAACACGTATTCCTTCACAGCAATGTGATCCATTACATGGATAAAATATAAGAGAGCCTAGAAGAAAAAGAGGAGTGAAGGTAAAGACCACTTTGTACAACAATCTGTTTCATAGAGGCCAAGAGAGGAAAAATCCAGATTAATCTGATCTATGCAGGTACTGCAGGTACTGCAGATGGACATTTCATTCTGATGAATATCAGCTCTTTAGAAAGATCTTCAGGGGAGTGAATCATGCTTAATAATTCTCATGAATGCTACAGTATGATCCCTTTTTGTCCTGTTCTAAGTAATGGAGGAGAATAATCAGTCTCTATCCTCTCAAATAACTCTTCATATACTTGAAAGAGTTTTTCACTCAACTACCAGGTTTGCCTTCTCTAGGTTAATGATGTAAAAATCATTAGCAGAATTTTTAGACATTTAACAATTCTTAATGTTTTTGCTTGAATTCAATGAAAGTCTTTGCAGTCTCTACTGAGATAGAGGCTCATGACTCTCTTATAACAAGAATTACTATAAAAGGATATTACAAGTGATGCCGCACATGGTTCACTTTGAGTGCTAATTTTCTTAGCATCTTTAATGCTGTTCTGAATGATGAAAATGAAAACAGGTTTAGCCAGTAGGTAGCAACGAGCTGGCAGCATTTCTAGAGCTCAGAAAGATTCAAATTTAATGTGACCCAGATTGGTTAGAGAAATATTTCATTACAAGAAAGATAAAATTTAAGAGAAACAAACACAAAGCAGACATACAATATGGGCAGAGCCAGTGTGACCCAGTGGTGTAGCTATAAACTATGGCAAAGAGAAAGCTAAGAGGTAACAACTGAAAGATTACTCTCAAACAGGTTATTTCCCGATTCGTCCTCAGGGAGTCCTTGGCATTAACAGGACGGGATTAACATGGGTTAGGATCCAAGCGCTACCAGAACGGAGGCGGGTACTAAGAAAACACAGTATCTTTCCAGTTGTTACCTGGTTTGACCTCACAATGTATCTCATTATTTTATATAAAATGATACATCATGAATATCCAGAACACCAGAAAAGTACACACTGACATCAATGTAGGATCTATGTTTTTACTGGTATCAATCACATTATTAATGGTAAGAATGAATGTTATACTGATTATTAATAACACAAAACAAATAACCATAAGCAGAAACTTACTAATGATATAATTTGCATTATATATAGGATATAAATATATATACATATATATACACACACACACACACACACACACACACACACACATATAATTCAAGTGAGTTTCTCCTTTGTGTGTATATATTTTTCTTTTCTTTTTTAAATCCTCACCCAAGGACATGCTGAGAGAGAGGAAAGGAGAGAGAGAAACATCAGTGTGAGAGAGAAACATCTATCTGTTGCCTTCTGTACATGTCCAACCAGGGACTGACCCTGCAACCTGGGTATGTGCCCTGACTGGAAATCAAACTGGCAACTTTTTGGCACACAGAACGATGCTCAACCAACTGAGCCACTCCGGCTGGGTTGTGTGTATATATTTTTATTATTATATAATTTTATTATTATTTCTGCTCTCATCAGATTGCTTCTGGTCTTTTTTATCCACTCTCCACCCAATCCTAGGGCAATTAAGATACTTATTTTTAGCTTCAAATTCCCCATCTTTAAATCTTTTTTAATTATAAAGAAATATGATCACATGACAGAAAAATATAAAAAAAAAATTCTCCCCAAAACAATAAAATCCACTTTGATATTTACTTCCAGTTTGTATCTTTAATGCATTAAAAAAGTTAGTGTATACAATTTAATGTATCACTTTTTCTCCTGTTGATTTTATAAACATGTATCTACAGTACTTGCCTCTATAATCATATTTTTTAAGGGTCAAAGAACATTCCATGTGTGGATGGTACCATAATTACCTGTTAGGAATTTAAGTTATAATTTTGTGCTACCAATGAGCCTGTGGGTAACATGCCAGGTCTAGTCCTTTCGAATTTTTTTTACCCAAACACCAGTGACCAGGATTCTAAGAGCTTAGCCAGAAGCAATTATCTGCTTTTGCGCAATTGTGCTTTATTTTAAAACTGTGTGTGATTTTTACATTTTTAAGTACATAACTTTTTTTACTATGGTTAACAATTATATGTGATTTTCCTCCTTTGCAGTCAGTTTCTAATAAAACTGATATTCTAAAAAGGTCTACATATTTATCCTGTGAATTTAATTGTCCCTTGCCTGAGTATTCCAATTTGGGCAGTTTCAGTGCCTATAGCAACTTCCATACTTGGGATTATTTCCTTAGTACAAAGTCTCAGGAACAGAATTACTGAGTCAATGGGTGTGACCACTTTTAGTTTTAATTTATCTTTGATCACAATAATTTAAAAGTTCTGGCTAATTTTGCAAGTAAAAAATGATATCTCATTTTAATTCACTTTTTTAAAATTACTCATCAAGTTGAAACTTTTTAACTTTTTATTTACTAGTGATACCATTTCTTCTTTTATGAATCATCTATTTCTGTCCTTTGCCTCCAAATGAAGGGATTATGGAATTATGACATCTTGGGTTAACTACACCTGTGACTTCTTCAGATAGATACTCCATTATTCTTTCTTTTTTTTAAGAAAGGCAGACTTTCAGGCTCTGGCTGGGTAACTCAGTTGGTTAAAGCATCATCCCGATACACCAAGGTTGTGGGTTCAATCCCTAGTCAGGGCACATAAAAGAATCAACCAGTGAATGCTTAAATAAGTGGAACAACAAATCGAGCCCCCCCCTCCCAAAATCAATAAACATAAAATTTTTAAAAAAGAGAAGAAAGGCAGATTTTGATTGTTAATACAACGATAATACAGAATGATTCCAACCAAAAATCTGCTAGTTATGTGATATTCAAAACAAAGTGGATGCGTTTTTGAAGATTACATTATGACATTCCGGTATTTTTGTTCACCTACAGAGCAAAACCAAACCCCTAACTTACAGAAATGATACATGCAGCTTTGCAGAACCCCAGGGCTGCTACTCTGCCAGAAATACATAATCATCAATCTCACACTCTAAGCCTTCATTCCAAATTCACATCCTCCTTATTTTTAAATCAACATTATTTGTAAAGCAGCCTTTTTGTGGCTTACCTTGTCCATATCTATTAATGTTACAGGAATGTTTCTTCCAACCACCACCATCACTGTGCGACCACAGTTATCGACACCTATGAACGAAAAATGTAATCAGTGCCCAGACACTTTATTCCAGAAGCATGAGTTGTCCCGGACACTAGCCTTATAAAAATATTCCACACATATGTAAAAGACTGAAAACCAGGAACAAAATTTTTCAAATTTAATATTCAGATTTCCTTTACTATGTAGAAAACGATACTTTTTAATTTACCCTTATAAGGTTTCGATGACTGCCCTTACTTTTAAGATAAGGCCTCTTATGAGTTTTAAATCAGGAACAAAGATAAGGTTGGAGGGCAAAAATCTTTTTATAAATAGCCTTTTGTTTAAACTTACTACGACTTTTAATAACATTAGTGACCTGGGAAAACTAAATGGAACTCAAATATGAAAATTAACAAGTATTGTCTAAAAATATATATAATGGGGGAAAAAGGGAGCCTGAGAACTTTCACTGTCTCCATTATATATTTATGTAAAGTCTGAATGCTGTATAGCAAGTATATGTAACTTTAAAAGCAGTGAAAAAATTTAGAAGATGAAAAAAGACATTAAGAAGAAATGAAGTTGGCCAATGTAGAACTATCGGTTGAAAATTTTATAGGTTCTATTTTCATTAGAACAAAAACATTTCATTCATAGATAAAATGGACAAAATCAGAGAAAAAGGAAGTCTCTAATAGCATGCCAGGTAGGGTCCTTATTAGTAAGAGAGTAAGTTACCACCATATCCTCAAGCTCACCTGTTTGGTATAAGGCTTTTAGAGAAGCAATATCAGACAGATCCTCAGATCTTGCTTGACATAACCAGCGGTTATAACTGGAGAAATAAAAGATATAATTATTATAATAAACCCTTGTAAATTAAACAATTGGGACCTGTTTTTATCTTGCCCTGTTCCTAAAAAATAATGTTTTATTATAATGAGGAAGGAGTTCAAATTATAAATAGTTATACTATGCAGAATCTCTACTATGTATTATTGATAACAGAATCACAAATGAATTACAGAGAAAGGAAGATGTTCATAATATTTAAGAAATCCTTTATGGTCAAATGAAGACTACTCATATAAATGGCTCAGATACCAAGTTCTTAAAGTAACATTGTTTTTAAATACTATTACTTTCTTTTGCTAAACAAAATGCAAACAGAAAGCCTAAAGCAATAGCAATTCTACAAAACAGATGTTCACTCATTCAACAAAGATTTACTTACTATATGATAGGTATTGAGAATACTTGAGTGAAAAGACATGGTCAGTGCCCTCCAGGAATTTGTTTTTCAGAAGAAAAACAGGTGTGCTGTACATGTCATGTGGGACCAGAAAGGAACTACGTACTTTTATCTGTGAAGTCCAGGCTTCTTCAATGATTGTTACAATCATTTAAAGAACTAATTACTTATACCCCCTACTCCAGATTATGGAGACCACAGTTTGGCACTGGCTAAGAGAATGCTAATGCTGGAAGAGACGTTAGATCCCAAATGGGAAATGACCTGAAAGAGGTCCAGTTATCAGCCAATCAATGATAGGGCTACATTCAAAGTAGCACTCCAGTCTCTGGAAACATCAGTACTTTTTCTACTTCATACTGCTTTCTTAAAATTCAAAGTGTCACTTACTTGTGAAAAAACGTCTTCAAGGCACCTAAATGTATGAAAAGCAACCCTGAAGCACCTAGGTCACATATGGCAACATCTCATAAAAAAAATTTAAACCAGGAGGGGAGACTTGGGTTCTAATCCTATCACTTCCTGTGCAACCTTAGTAAAACTGTTTCACTTCTGTGGATCTCAGTGTACTGCAAAGGGGTGTTTATGTATGACATCTTTTGGCTATAAAGTACAATCACACAACTAAGCATATTTAATAGGAAGTCTATTACATATGGATTGTACTCAACAAGGGATATGCCTGCTAGTTTCACAAACTATTACTGCTCATGAAAACACACCTGGTACGGCATAGTTCTACAGTTTGCCTTTTTAAATGTGGAAGCTTGCCCACCTATGCCAACTGAGAAGTCAAAGACACTAGCTTGGTTAAAGATATAATTTGCAAGTCAAGAAAAGATTCATGTACATTCTAGTTCTTCCTATGCATAAGCACTCTTCCATATTTCCACACAGTTATTTCCTAGGTTATTTACACTAAATCCTCAATTATGCTGATCTCTAATTGTTTTATGATTATGTCATCCCACAACAAGACTAAGGAGAATAATATATCTTAATGTCTTATGAGCACCGCAAGTCCTAGCACAAAACATGTAACAAGAATTTGGTAAACACCTATTACTTTCTATACTTTATGTATTCGTTAGCTCATTTTTCAAAGATTTACTGCATAAATGCAATGCATGAATCATAGTAGGGACTCAAATCTTTGTAGAAAAAATAGCAGACAAATATTATTCAAGGTATTTAGAGGCCTGAGAATACTAATAAAGGCCCTTGGCTTCAAAGAGTTTGAAGTTGAATATATGGGATAAACACATTACAAACACATTTAATGTTGTTGTAAGACAGAATGAGATAAGCAATCCAGCAGATGTCTAAATACTCTACCAATCAAGTGTGTATGCTGAGGGGAACTGGCAGGGGTGGAGCAAGGGGGTTAGGGAGGGAGGCACGGTACAGACATGTGGTAAACTGACTGCTCCTGTCTTCGTATCACAAAGATTAGCACAAGGCTTTACCCACTCATTGAAGTGTCTACTTCTGTGTTAGACCACAAGACAGGGAATGTGTCTCCCTTGTCTCTTTATTTCCAGTAAATCTCTAGGGTAGTTCCTGACATTCTGTAACTATGTATTCAATGAAGGCTGAAAAAAATTGTTTTTAAAACTGGAATTCAGGTGCACAAAATAGAGTTAATGATCTTTGGTTGAAAACACTCTCAGTCACTAGTACATGGTTCTCTTTAAAGAAACTGGTCATTTCACTAATTATTTTTAATGAATAAGTACTCCAAAACCTACTACCCCAAATTAGCACCATCACAATAACCTCATGATTTTCTTCTTTCCTTTTTATATTGTTTTAATTCATCTATATGTACTCCCAAAAAAAGTTTTTGGTTGTTTTTAACTATTCAAAAAATAAAAGAAAAAATTGATCATACATTATGTAATCTTTGAGTCTTTTTGACATATTATATTGCTAAGATTCATGTGTATTGTTGGGTGTCAATGCTGTTCATTCGACTACTATATATAATGTATTTATATTATCTGAAAACTATAACTTTTTTCATGCACTCTGCTACTGATGGATGCTTAGAGTATTTCCAGGTTTTTGCTACTGTGAACAGTGCTAAGATCAACTTATTTCACAAGTCTTCTGGTATATGTGTGCATGATTTCTCCTGGGTAGATACACAGGAGTGGAAATGTTAGGTTGTATGGTATGTTCAGTTTTAAGAGATAAGGCCAAATCTCTTTCCCAACGTGTAGTACCAATTTATACTTCTATAAGCAATGAATAGAAGATCCTGTGAGTCCGTGTCCTCTTCAACACGTGGTGTTAGCAGATGTTGGCCAATCAATCAGGTTTGAAATGGTATATCATTACTTTGGTCACTAATGATGTTGAGATCCTGTTCTTACATGCTGACCATGTTTTCTTCTTCTGTGAGTTTATATCATTTGCCCATTTTTTTCTGTTAGGCTGTTTATTCTTTCTCATTTATTCATAGGCTTTCTTTCTATATTCTTGATACTAATCATTTTCCAGTTCTATATATATATTCATAAGTCCCATTCTGTGACTTGCTTTTCACTTTCTTTAATCTTCATTGCTCCAATTTCTAAAGTTCTTAATTTTAGTATAGTTAAAACTATTTTTCCTTTTCTTGGCAATGCTTTTTTATAGCCTGTTAAAGGAACCTATTTTATCATTCCTTCCATGGGTTTTAAATTTTTTTAACTTAAGTTGATTTTAGTTCATATGAACTCTGAACTAGTATAAACTCTAAAGTGTTTTTAACCTTATCTGTGATTAACAACTTGAGACTGATTCGAGGATAGTTTTTGTTTGGCAAAATCCATATAAAAATGTTTATGGGAAGAAGGTTTATAGTTTACATCAGATTCTCAAAGGCTTTATGATTCAAAAAAGTTTAGAATCACTGCTGGACAGTGATACTAAGATTCTAAGAACCTTGAGATGAATTCCAATTCAACAACACGTGACTGGACTCTTCACCTGCTTTCTTCCTTACCCTAATGTAATCTCTTCCATTCCCACGATACGTGGTTTAAGTTTGATTTGATTATTGTTTCTTTTAAATCAGTATTCGGGAAGAGGGAACAAAAGGAAAAGATGTTAGCTTTCCCTCCACATCCAATAAAGATATAATGCTTTCCATATTTCCTCACCTACTCAAAGAATGTTTAAAATGTTCCATTATTTCTCTCATGAACTGTACCTCATATTCGCTGCATTTCTGTATTTTTATTTCAATAATGACATGTAATCTTTGATCCCGAATCCAACAATGAAAACAATCAAATCAAGATCTATAGCATATTCCAAACAAACAAATTACATTACTTGATGGTAAAATATAACAGTCATGGGTAAATGGTAACACAAAATATGTCATAATGGCAGCAAACATAGCCACTGCAAGTACTCTAAAGGCAGAAATACTGAGTAGCATATAGTTTCTCAATAGGCTGCAATCAACCAAGGTTGGATGTCCTCACAAAGCTGACTTAAGGCAATTCCTTCCAGGTAATCAGTTACCATCTACCTGCACAATCAACGGTGAAGATAATTTAAGCCAAATTACTCTTTTTTTTTTTTTGGTACGTGCCCCTAGCGGGGAAACCGAACCCGGGACTCTCTGGTCCGCAGGCCAACATTCCAACCGCTGAGCCAAACCGGCTAGGGCTAAGCCAAATTACTCTTAAGAACAATTACTAACCCATTTGTGTACAACCAATAGCCCAGGGAAAGTTTTAGCTTTGGAATTAATTAGCTTTTCCTGACCTCATGCAATTGTCCCACACTGGACCTGGTTAAGACCCTTATTATATATACTTATTGCACCCTACAATTTAAATAAAGTATTTCTATAATAATATGTTTAACATTTCTCCCTCTGTGAGACCCTAAGCTCCACGAGGGCTAGAGCTGTATCAGTCTTGTGTTACTTTATTACATTTCTAGCACAACACTTGGCACATTAGTAAGAGCTCAATAAATATTTAATAATAAATTAGATTAAGTTTTTACTGTGAGAAATGACATAGAGTTGCAGGCAATTGGATCTTAAGCCAAGCAAGAAACAAGTGATAAAGAAAAGTTACTGTAAAATAATTTAAGAATTTTAAAAGCTGCATCTTTTAAAAAAACAGACTGCTTCCTAATTTTTGTAGGTAAGCCAACTTTCATCTTATGATACACCCAAGTTAGTGTCACAACTGAACAGAAGACCTGGACATATTAATCAAGAATTAAACGATATGGCACAGCTGGTGTGACTCACTGGTTGAGTGTGGACCCATGCATCAAGAGGTCGCTGGTTCAATTCCTGGTCAGGGCACATGCCCAGGTTGTGGGCCTGATCCCCAGTATGAGGCATGCAGGAGGTGGCCTTTGATGTTCTCTCTCATCAATGTTTCTCTCTCTCTCTTTTCCTCTCTCTAAAATCAATAAAGAAAAAAATATTTTTTTAAAAAAAGAGTTTAAACAATATGGCCCTGGCTGGTGTGGATCAGTGGATAGAGCATTGGCCCAAGAACAGAGGGTCACAGATTCGATTCCCAGTAAAGGGCACATACCTGGGTTGCAGGTTTGACCCCCAGTCC